GAGGGCCTGCAGCCCCGGGCTGGGAAGGGGCCGCCCCGTCTGCTTGCCTGGAATGACCGTCTCTGCTGGGTGCTCCGAGCAGCAAGGCACAGAGTAGCCTGAGCACCAGCCTGCCGGTTGCTGCTGTTGCCGCTGCGTCTCAGAACCTACCAGCTGAGCTGTCCGTTCCGTTCCCGTGTCCACAGATGTTATGTCACCTTCACAGTATGCAGGGGTGGCATCGTCTGCCCGTGTCATAGCTCAGGAAACGGAGGCTCAGCCCTGTCATAAAACAGGCCGGTAACAGCGAGCCCAGGCTCCTGCAGCCCAAGGTCACTGTCAGGCCGACCAGCTGCGTGCCATGCAGGCTGGCCGGCCAAAGCCTGCGCTTTGGGTCTGGCTGAACCACGCAGCTGGTAGACCTCATGGCGTTTGCCCAGGAGGAGTGATCGAAGTCCCAGTAGCCCCCTCCCCGAGGGCGTGGGGCCGTGTCTGACCCCTGGGTAGCTCTGTAGCCACCGTGTGCCTGGGATGCCAAGCGCTGGCACCTCAGGTCCAGAGACCCCCGTGGCTGGAACCCATCCCTGCAGATTGTCCCACAGTGTCATCCTTCCGGGCTTCCCGGGGCTTTTCGGGCAGGTGGTTCCTTGACTTCTCCTGGCAGCCTCAGCCCTGGGAGCCGCCCTTGGGGTGGGTAGCCCCAACCCCGCCTGTCCTGGAGCCTCACTGATGAAAGGCCACGCAGACCCTCAAGGTGCCCACGGCCAGTTGTCTGAGCAACCGGAGAGCCCTTGCTGATGGGCATGCCTCGCTTGAGGCCCCGCCCCGCCTCTCCATCCCTGCTCTTCCAGGGACTGTCATTCATCACAGGGGCGCAGGGCGAGAGCAGGCTCATAGGAGAGGGCAGGGTCGTTTTCCAGTGAGAATCCCGGCTCCAGGAGGAAGGAGACGCAGGTCGCCATTGGCCGGAGCGCGGAGTCCGTGTCTCCAGGGCCCCAGTGATCAGTCTTCCGTTTTGGCCCCATGTCAAGGTCC